GTGGTGCTGAGGATCGAACCCGGGCCGCACGCATGCCAGGCGAGCGCGCTACCGCTTGAGCCACATCCCCAGCCCTTGAGGCTATGTTTTAATTCAGATGAATAAGCCCTATCATTAGGAAAAAATAGATAATAGCAATAAAGAGTCAGTGATTCTGAAGTGTATTTGGCCAGTCTAGTCGATTACATCCAGTTCCATAAATTGTGTGAAACAGATCACAGGGAAAAGGATGAATGAGGCTGGGCCTAGATTTGGGATTGGACCTGGACCAATCCAGGGATGCTCAAGGAAAAAAATCATAAAGTAAAGACAGGAGTTTCCTCTGAAGATTCCTTATTTTCAAATACAATACAAGTTACTGAGCAAAACTCATAATACATTTACTAAAACTAAAGTTCTTCTCTTCCAATTACATGATTATAGCTCAGAGGATGACATATAAGAATACCCTATAATGAAATAGGATTTTTCAAAGTTTTTACATTATTATCCCATGAGATTCTTATAAACCTGTGACAATAAAGTAGATATTATGCCTCCTTCTGTGTAAATTAGAAAACAGGCAAGAAAAAATTAAGTATGGCCCATGTCACACAGCTAATAAGGTATGGAGTGGCCTTTAATAAGACCTGGAAGTAAGAACATGACTTCAGAGACCTGCAGCTCACGCCACAAAGAACTTTAGCGACACCCTAAGGAAGCAGCTAGCTATGCTAGATGCAAAATGTTCCCCTTGGCAACTTTTCCTTGACCACCCTGACCTCCAGTAGGCCTCACAGGAACCAAATATGCCTGTGGAAGAGGAAGCTGTGGAGCCTGCACGGTGATGGTGTCTAAGCACGATCCAGTATGCAAGAAGATAAGGTACCCACCAGACACTCAGAAGCCAGAGGAGGGCTTTCTTTATCTGCCTGGCTTGCGTTCTAATCGCGCAACTAAGAAAAATTTTTGGATTTTTGCTATCTCTGGATCTCAGACCCCTCTGAGAAATCCCATAAATGTTGGGAGGCATCTACTCAGATAATGCATAAGCTAATTACATTTTACGTATTCTTTCAGGAAGATCATAAACCCCCCAAGGCTCATCTATGTGCCCTAGGTTAATAAACCCCACCTTAGGCCAACAACATATTTAACAGATGAGGAAATTGAGACTCAAACAAAATGAAGTGACTTGTTCAGGGTAGAACTTGAACCCAGGAAGCCTGAAGCTAATTCTCTTTCTACTTTTGGGATGCCCCAACCCTGTAGAATAGACATCTGGGCAACATTATAGAACTTGGGCTTTTTCCAAATCCCATTGGCCCAAGAAATTAAGAGATGGTTTAGAACATAGGTCATTCAGTATCATTTAAATTAACAAGCAAAAAAATACCTGAATGTGTAGCTGTGGGTAAAAGACCCATATCTTTTGCTTGCCTTTGCTTTTTATGAGGTCAGGGTCTCAATGGATATCTGTTGAAGTTCAATCACTCTCCTAGAGACCTTAGTCCATTCCTGTTGTTCCCAGGTGAGTCCATTCTAGGCCTAGGAAGTTTTTCTGAAGTTCAGAATGCCCATCTCCACCTTAAGGATCCTCAATCCTTGAAGATAGCACAGAGACAAAGAGAGGACTGACTCTAACTGCTCCTTGCTGTCACCTCTCCAGTTCCCCAGCCTGTCAGAGCTGATTGATGGGCTTTGGAGGTCTTCTGCTGCCCTTCTGGCTCCAGTGTTCCCCATGAGGCAGGACTGTGTTACTCCTCCTGTTTTTTTTTTTTTCTTGTGTTTCTCATACAAAGACACTTCTCCGTCACTGCATGCCTGGTGCCCATCTGCTCTCTGTATGGAGCCGCTGTCACCACCGTGGAAGGCATTGGAAGCATCAAAACCAGGCTTCACCCCGTGCAAGTAAACATGCATCTCAATTTTCACACTCCTTAACTTTATTGCTTTATCAAATGTTTCTTAAATGTACTGATTCTAGATTACAATCAAGTAAGTAGAAGATTGGGATGTGCGTTGATCAAGTAACAACATCTGTCCCTTGATTTAAAAGAAAGCTGGAAATACATCTATATTCTATTAGATGGTCATTCTTCTCATTACTTTTTCTACCTGAATGATAAGCAGGATCATCAAAATACCAATTAAGGCCTATTGGACTATGAACTAGAATACATACTACACACTGGCTATTAGGTGTAGAATAAAATACCTCAGTAGATAAGAGGATAAAATCCAATATTGTTCCATGTGACATAGAGGTCTCAGGAGTACAATCAGAAATGGGAATGAGTAGGGTCTAAAAATAACTTTTCTAGATTAGGAGTACAATCATTTGCCCAAATCCTAACCTAGAGCCAGAACAAAGAGTTTGGATCCAAGAGTAATGGCATGCATTGGCAGAGAACACATCAGTTCCTCTGTCAGTGTCCTAGAGGTTTGGGGAGTCACAAGACCAGATCAACTGAGTCATTCGAGGCAGAAGGAGCTCCAAGGATCTCTGAGTTTAACCACATGAGAATCATTTCCAAGATAAGCAAAGAATCCAAAAGAGTCTGTTAGAATCTACTAGATTAGGCAAGATGCTCACATCAGGTCCATAAACCCCAATCCTAGGATTACACTACATCCTGAAATCTAGAACAGGGCTTCCCAAGTTTACTGTTCCTAAACATCACCTGGGAGGTTGTTCAAGATGCAGATCCTGAGTCAGGAGATTGGGAGCAGAGATCCCGAGTTCTGCATTTCCTACCAGCTGTCGGACCACAAACCACCTTTTAAGTAACAAGGATTTTGGACACAGACCAAAATCCTTAAAAGTGTAATTTCATCTGAGTCAATACAGAAGAATTCAAAGAAGAAAGGAAAATGAGATTGACAGTAGATAGTATTCAAATTAATCAAGAAGAGGTAGCCTCCTGGTCAACCTCCTTGATGGGGTGTTCAAGAAAACTATTTTTTAAATTTATGCACACGCATTATAATTATTAATGCCTGAAGAGTTCCTCTCTGGGAGTTGAAGGTGCACAGTATCTCAACTTGAAGGATTGAGCACCTGACCTTGAGAAGTGCCTATAATGATAGTCTATGGCTTCTGAATCACTTCCTCCTAGAGCATCCTAGTAAAAGGGACACAGAGACCCTGACAAAGAGGCTAGGGTACATTTGCTCAGAGGGAGGGTTCCACCTCGCCTACCTTAATTAATTGAGTTAATTGCAGCAGGAAAGTACAGCTGTACCCATGCAATGTCCTTCCAGGAAAGAATTGCCAAGAGCCATGGCACCCAGTGTGGATTCTGTACTCCTGGGATGGTGATGTCTATGTATGCACTGCTCAGAAATCACCTGCACCCCTCAGAGAAGCAGCTCATGGAGGCCCTACGAGGTAGGTCTGACACAGGGAAAAACCACCAGCTACCCCAGCCACGTGGAAAATTTTCTTCAGGCTACTATATGTCACCCTCCACATTATTCCTGCCTTACTAATATCTCCACATAGGTCATTTCTAAAGTAGCTACAATCCACCCAAGAGCAGAGAAAGATGCTAAGTAGTTCCCTTCTTATCACAGTATATGCATGGTATGTTCTGCAAAGCACTGATGCACAGCATATGGACCACACCACTTATCGGTCCAGTGATTTGTGTGGCTGCCTTCATTAAGGGCCTGTGTTAGTACTGGGGCTGCCCTAACAAACCACCACAAACAGGTTGGCTGTAAGGAGGACCATTCCTTGCCTCTTCCTAGCTTCTGGTGTTTGACAATAGCCCCTGGCATTTTTTTTGGCTTATAGATGAATCACTTCAATCTGTGACTCTATCTTCACATGGCCTTTTCCTGTGCTGGTACATCCAAATCCATACCACCACCCCCGCTGCTTTTTTTTTTTTTTTTTTACAAGGACACGAGTCCATAGGGCCTATCACAATCAAGTATAACCTCATTTTAACTCAATTACATCTACAGAGATCCTATTCAAAATGAGGTCTTAGCCACAGATTTTAGGGGTTATATCTTCAACACATCTTTTTAGAGACACAATTCAACCCTCAACAGAACTCTTACAAATTGAGAGAATCTTTTAAAATTTTCAATGGGTGTAACTTAATAAATAGGAGTTCATCAATATGTCCTTTTTATGGGATCAGTTAACTTCATCTTCAGGTGTCAACACTCTTTAAACAAGTCATCTTTTATATTGAGATTTTTTTAATATTTTTTTTTACTTTTAGGTGGACATAATATCTTTATTTTTATGTAGTGCTGAGGATTGAACTCAGGTTCTCATGCACCACTGAGTCCCAGCCACAGCCCCTAGACACACAGATTCTTAAATTGACCCTCAAGCAAGCACATGCCTGTATTCAGCCAGCTGCTGATAAAATTCCTCCTCTCTCCTGTCCTCTCTTTTCTCTCTGCTCCAATGCAGAATATCAGTTTAAGTCATGTAGACTCCCTACCTTCTTTGGGTCCCTCTCCTACTCTAGTCCTTCAGCAGATTCTCAGTTTAAAGCATGGCCAAGCCCAATCTCCCTCATTAGGCATTCAGAGAAGACTGGTAACTGATCCCATTACCTAAAGTTTCCTCCTCCTCCATGTGACTCCCTTTAGGCCTTTCTCCTCTCTGCCTCTGCACATTTCCTCCTCTGCACCTTGCTTGTGTTGCTCTAAGAACTCAAACTGCTCCATACCAGTCCAGAGCTTGCTCATCTTTCAAGCCTGAGCTTCTTAGCAAGGTATCCCCAGATGAGCTCTAGTCCACACTGACCCTCCCACTCCCTATATCCTTGGAAACCTGAGGTTTGCAAGCTTTACCATGCAATAGAATAAACTGCAAACCTCTTAAATGCATATTCCTGGGCCCACCCCCAAGACATTCTGATTCTAGAGAATCTGAGCAGAGCCAGGGATCTGTATTTTTAACAAAAAACAGCCTTCAGGAAATTCTGCTGCATGACCTTAAAATCCCAGAGGAGACCAATGACAAACTGCCCGAGGCATGATACTTTTCTCACCTTGTGCCTTGGGAATTTTTTATAGTTTCTGTTATAGGATCACGAATATCTTACGATCTGAAATATAGTTGTTGTCAATAAATACACAATGGGGATGAAGGTGGAGCTCAGTGGTAGAGTGCTCACCTGGGCCCTGGGTTCAATCCTCAGCATCAGCAAAAATAAATAAGTAAATAAGTATCTAGAGCTATTTAAAATTTCACAAGAAGCCAGTAAATATAAGTCCTCCTGACAGTCATGCTTCTCCTCCAATTAGGTAATCTCTGCCGCTGCACTGGGTATCGGTCAATTCTTGAGAGTGGCAAGACTTTCTGCATGATGAGTAGGTGAATCTAGGGACACCCTACAGAGCAAGAATGACAGGGATGCAGGAATTAGTTTTCCCAGACCATCTCAAAAATCAATAAGGGAGATAAAGTAAGTGAGCTCCAACTGACTCACTGAAGTTTAAGCTATTTCCTGGGGATTGGGTGAGTTCTGTACCACCTTTGATGTTGTCCAAAATCACAGACAGAAGTCAAATGATCTAACCAGACATCCAGATATTTTTTTTTTATCAGTTAAGTAAAGTATCTAGATAGGACAAGCAAGAGGGCCTCAGGAAACCCAAGTAGACACACAAGGGGATAAAGTTTGCTGTGGTGAGGTAAGGTTTATTCCAGAATCTAACCAGCTGGGAAGATATGAACAGATTTTTTAAAAAAAAGTTGAATAAGTAGAGCGGAATCCAAAATTCACTCCAAGTGCAACAGCACAGGGAGCTTCCTCTACAAAATGGGGGAACTTCAATGGGCTGTTGTGAAAATCAGGTGAGTCTTTCTTGGCACTGAGTAAGAGTTTAAGAAATAGCTACTACTGTTGTTGATAATGTTGTTGACACTATGAACTAGCATTTGACAGGGGTACCAGACAGGTGCATCTGATGACCCTCCACTGAGGGTAAGATGGTGATGGGCAACAAAGTCCTTAGATCCAAGCAAAGATGACCCCACAGTTTAGAAGGCCCCCCTCTGATCTTTCTGCAGCTATTCTCAGGAGTCAATGGGGCCAAGTGACTTGCCTACCTAGAGTCTTCACCCCTTTTCTAGGTCATTCTCCAAGTATGGTTTTTGACTCCACTTTTAGACCAATATAAGCCCCTTTCCTGATATGCTCATCTATACCCTGCACCCTAGGTCAAAGGGAGTGGACAGAACTTGGAGACTCTGGTGGGAGTGTTCACATGGGTGAGGCCCCTCATAATGGAGAACAGAGCCAGGGCTGAAAGAGAAAGGGAGCAGGCTATAGGCTGGAGCCACCATTTATATTCTTTCCCCAATTCCACAAATAATAGAGGTAAGCCTAGAGGTGGACAAGCAAGTATGTCCAGCTAACCACAAAGTCAGGCAGATGTTCCATGTCCGTGTGTCCCAGACTTCTATTGCCACATTGGAGAAACCAAAGTTAACAAGCCAAGAAGTAAAATGAATAGCCATGAACCCAACAAATTGCAGGTGTAAATGGAAAAGCTCTTGTGAAATACAAAGAAAGAAAGTTAGAGGAAAGCCCTTTCCCTATGGATGTGGTGTTATTCACCTTTCCAGGCAAACTGATTCTGGGGATAA